ACAGGCGTACGCACGTCACATGTCCATGAACCATCAACACAGTCTTACTGTATGAGAAATCCTGAACAGATCTGCATGATGAAGTATAGACTGTAAACCAACTTCGCGCTAGAGTGGTTGGCACACCTGATTCATATTAGGCGGAACCCGTTTTCAAATCTCGGCCCGGAGACTGGATATCCTTAATAAGATATTTCGTGGTTTTGCTCAATCCTTCCAGGCAAATGCAAGGTTTTCTTCACATCCTTTCACTGATTATCTGCAATCCACTAACAACGTCGTTAATTAAACCACAAATAAATAGATTAATAAATAAATAAATTCACACTGCCTCTGTTTTCTAATCACAATGCAATCTCTTCAGATATGGCCGACATCCAGCAGTTTCAATCCGGATGCAAATGTAATAACGCCTTGAGCACTGGACTGTCGTATGATCATACCTTCCTCGTTTCTGTAGGTCTACTGACTACTTTGTCTTCCTTGCTTTATATCGCCTTCCGTTCTCCCTCTACATCAGCAGAGTAAAAGCCTCGGGGGGTCAATATTTACAGATGACGCGTAATAAAAATTCACGGTCTTTTAAAATCCATGTCAAATATATTCAAATTGGGCTCGTTAAGGGCTCCCCGTGGTAACATTGAGGTTGACTCCAATTTCCCTGACATAAAACAATGGCCGTACGTTTTCCGTGGCGTAAAAATAAAGAGGGGTTACGTTAGGTCTCTAGGGGGAATACCCTAGTTCTGAGCATCTACCGCATGTAGTGTAGCTACTTGCTAGCGCTACCATGCAGGTTATCCCATTCTACAGACTGACCCGCAACTTTCTTCTTATGATGATACGCGTATTGAATCACTGAACAGATGTCCTGACCGACACCTCGCAGAAAATGATCATCTAGATACTCTACAGGATGATCACAAATTAACTCCGGTTAAAATATGTATTTAACAAAAAGTAAAAGACGTACAGAAATAAAACTTGCATCATTTAAAGTCAATTTTCAACAATTATTTACGGCATGCAGAAGAAATGACGTAACAACAGCAACGGTGACTAGAAGACCAAATGTTGTAAAACTGCCACTCAGATCGAGAAAACAAATTTAATTCACAAGTGGATGGCATTATGGAACTTGCTCCGAAACACCCACTGAACAGTGGCCACAGATTTTTCGAAATGGTACGCGATCACACAAAACGCTCATTCGGGTACAGCTGCCACGTCAACAGTAGCGCTACTTGTGACTGCCCACGGAATTACATAACTTCTCCCGCAAGATACAAAAGTTCTTTAAATTCTTTTAATGATTTAAGGATCAATTCTGTATGTAATTTAATTTTTCTTAAATAAATGTTTGAAACCGCTCAAATCATTTGTGTTCACCCCGATATTTTCAACTGTTTTGACCGTACTCACAGAATCGACAAGTCCATGTGGCACTGTAGCAGAGAAGCCCCAGGTCACGTTTCTTCGGAATTATCTAATTTCCCTTGTTCTGCCTCTATCTTTATTTAATTGGCATTCTCACAGCTAAAAATTATGAATCCATACCAAACGTTACTACTTAAAAGTTACGCCTGTTACTTGTTTTCGATATTGGTATGGCGATATATGAGCTGTGATATCATCGGCGCTGTGTGAAAATTACTGATAAGGAGCAAAACTGTTACAGACAGCTGTGTAAAACGATTCAAATTCTCTAATGATGTGTGTGAGCAGCTACGATCTTAAGAAATTGAAGAACAAGGGTCACTTCCTGCATAGATCGCAAAAGAAAGTAACAACTAATCAACACTACACAAGCGCATTACGTCACGATGCTTAAAATAAGACAACGAGTCAGGATTAAACATAAATGCCCTAATGGTAAACATTACACGTTTGCTATCTGAAACACAGACAGTAAGAAACAAAACTGGGTGCAACATTCAGCGACAAAAATAATTCTAAAATTTGAAAATTATCACTATAGTCGGGTCTGAAAAATAATCCAGAGATTTTAAACGAGATTACGAAAATGGTACCTACAGACGCGTTACACCGCGTAGTCTCGTAGAAGTTGACCGACGGTTCAAAGGGCAATCGCCCTGCTTATTCTTTGAAAGGTGGGTCAATTTCTGTGAGGCTATACGGCGCAACATCCCAGAAGACAGTCGACATTGTAAATCTCCTATGGAGTTTCAAAACAGCGAATTACGAGGCGCGTCCTCAAAGTAAGTTTCCCTGGGGCCGTTTACAGAAACAAAACACAATTTCATGGAAATATTTATTGCAACAGATACAGCAAGTGTCCAGCTATTTTTCAACATATTCGCCACCGGAATTGAGACATTTGTCATACCGTGGGACCAACTTTTGAATACCTGGGTCGTAGAAGTCTGCCGCCTGGGATTGGAACCACTGTGTGACAACCATCTCCGCCTCTCTGTCATTCTCAAAACGCTGACGCTGACGCTGACCGGACAGGAATTTCTTGAGGTGTAGGAAAAGATGGAAATCACTGGGAGCGAGGTCCGGGCTGTAGGGTGGATGATTAAACACCTCCCAGCTGAACTCCTGCAGGAGACTCGCTGTCTGTCGAGCCGTGTGCGGCCTAGCGTTATCACTGACCGCACTTCACAGTCGGCGGGAGCTGGAATAAGAACCTCCCTCTTCAACAGCTGCAACGATGCTACTGTGAGAACGCGGGAAGTGCCTTTAGTGCATGCGCCATGCTACGTCATTGCTCTATCACGTACGCACAGTCGCTTCGCGCAATATAAGGTTTGCTAGCTGTGGGACGAGTGGGAAACTTACTTTGAGGACGCGCCTCGTATAACACATTTTCGTTGAAAACCTGTTCGCCCAAATTTAATACAGCAGTGATCAGTAATCATGGAGTCGTATTTATGATAAAAAAGATTACAAATACCTTAACTATAAAAGAATATGCTTTTATGAGCAAGTCCAGCGAATGATAATTGCTTGGTGATCTGAAGTACCAGTCAGAAGACCAAACAGTATATTAAGACGAAGAGTAAAGATAGACAGATCCCAGAAAAGGCGAGATTTAGAAAACATTAATCTGATGTACAGAAAATTAATTTTGCAGTCTTAAAATCACTGTTCCAAACTTTAACTCGCATCAAGACAATGTCTTCTAGGTTTTTAGGTCGTGTAGTCTGTCGACGTGTCAGAGGTACTTGGTGCCACCAAGGATCCTGATGATGGAGGCAACAAGTACCTGTGAAACGTCGGTAAATTTGTGTCATCTTCGTACTCGCGACCTTGTGAACCTGAAACATCGCCTTCTAACATCATGTTTCTGGTTGAAAGAACAAAGGAGAAGAATGCACTGTGTGTCAATTTGAATTTGAAATTTAATTCTAAAGGAAGGAGCCAAGGGAAATATCAAAGTGTAGGCTTGCTTTTCTGTCGTCATCTTTCACCCAGAAAGTGTGACAGTGACAGGCTAAGGGAGCCATATGCAGTGGCGGGTCGTGAAATGGGAAAGTGTGCTGGCTATCGTTTATTAAAACTGAACACTCTTGTCATTTCCTCTTGAGAAAACAAATTCGTATTGATCCATGGCATAATAGTGTCACATGTTATGAAATGACACGTCCCGATAACTCAAGAGACAAAGGCGACAGCGAAACTCCTAACATTTATTCACTGGAGACAAAAACCGAGAAACCTGTTACCACGAAATAACCAACAGAACGCGAGGAAGTGTTTTAATTTTTACACGTTTAAAATCTTGGGGGAGGTGAACATTTCATTAATAATTTTAAACATAATTTTAGCAGAAATTAAACACGTACATTAAAGTGGATTTGAAATTCTTACTGTGGTTTATGTGAATAAAAACAGCGGTCTTTTCTTTAAGGTGGTTACATCGCGTAGTCGTTCGGCTGTAACCGACATTACGAAGGAACATACTGCCAACATTTTCAGGGCTGACATGAGATTCAATCGTGTACCTAACCCTCTACACTTGAGTCCTAAAAATGAAGTCAGCATTTCTGTAAGATCTTGAAACAGCCGAAAGTCTACAGGGCGAAACAACCCAAAAGGCGAATGACAGATGTGAATTAAAACTGGATTTTCTTGCACATCTCATAATTTAAGAACCCAAAATATGATATCCGGGGATAACATAAGACGCTTGCTATTTTACAGGCTATCCGGTGCACGGTTCCGAGCTGCTCGTGTGAATGCTTCACGCCAGGCAAGATGAATATACGCTACTGTGACACGTGCAACCACAGCTGGGTCCCACACGGTAAGTCACAATTCCAGACTTAAGTAAGTGTTATTCACAATTCAGGCTATTAGCCAAGCTTCAAGTTGACTTTATTTTAGGGCCAAGATACCAGTTTTGTGATGCCCGAGATTTTCAAAAAGGTGAAGACAATGAAGTTGATCTTACGGGTTCCAACGCCATGTGGACTTGTAAGTAGACACTAACGTTTCGGAGGAAAATAATACCTCCAACTTCAGTGATGAAGTAACTCATATATTCTTCCGAAACTATGGTATATACTTAAAAATCCACGCAGCATCAAACCTAGGAGACCAGCATCGACATCTCCACCGCCGTGAAAAAATCAGATCTCAAGCAATTAAACATAATTACAAAACAGATATTTACATGCAGACCAAAATAGTAAGGCGGCGTAGGCATATAGGTCTATTGTGTGTAAAATGAAGTTATTCCCGTCCCTGAACACCATGACATGATGACGCATTACGGTCCGAAAGTAAAATTCTGCGCATTCTATTTAAGAGTCACATTCACAAAGACCTCGTTTATACCTGAACAAAATATTATGTTGTCCCTCCAGCAGCACTGGATTTCTCAGTATATTCTAATTGCTTTGGTCGTGCTGTACATAAGTGCAACACCCAGGCGAGAGCAGCAATATTGTAATGCGGTCGCCTTGTCAGGGTGGACACGCATCCATTTCTTGATGAGAACATAATGAAAATTTATTGCTTTATTGTTCCTATAAAAAAAGAACGCAACACTCTTCTCGTGAAATTAGGCACACATGCGTTGGATTAAAGTGCAAAGCAGCTGTATGCATGTACTTGATCTCAAAGGGAATAAATTATAAACAAACTCTGAAATGTTTTCCCTCATATAACTTCTTGAAAGAAAAATATACTCAGGTACATTCTCGTTAAATATCTTATACTTATCATTATATTTACAGAGGCAATAATTTTTAATGCCTACATGAAATACATCGCGTATTCCATCTCCGCGCAGATACTTATACTACAACAGGTAGTCAAATTATTGTGTAGGTACATACAAATAATAGATATGTTGGTAGCACAATAATCCGTTATCACAGAAGCAGACAATGACAGCCTAATAATACAATTCTTAATCCGAATAAAACAAGTGGAATCATAACAAGATGTTTGGGAAATAATATGACCAAAAATATACGAAGTATAACTTATTAAAATACAGCAAAAACTACATTAATTTTTGGATCCAAAATAAGGTCCTTGTAAATATGAAAATTACTGGAAGTTTAGTAAATGAAATTTCATGGACCACTGGCGAAGTTCTTAAGAAAGGATCATATTAAAAATAACATTACAAGAAATCAACATGGGGAAACCAGCATCGTTGAAAATACTGAATAATAATATGGACAGATTAATTATTAAGAATGGATTTCCCAATGCAGCATAACCATTGTAGGCCTTAGAGAAGGAGAGAGGTAGGAAAACCGGCTTTGGATGCCGGAACGAATCCCGGTGACTCAGTCTTCGTCGGTATATGAGAAGTAGTTTGTAATCTCAAAATAGCCGTAAGACGTTAACCAAGTTTGTACAAGAGCATAAATTTCAAATAACAACTGATATTCAATTCCGCGTGCTTTTTTTATACAACAGCGGTGTCAATACGGACTAAGTAAATCTCTTCGACATTAGCATTGCTCGTAAGTCCTAGAGACAAGAGATTATTGCAAAGATCAAGCCGAGTAGAAATCCGTATTTTCATTCTTCTGAACACAGTTTAAGGAACATGGAGTAGCACAACCATAAACACAGGACACTAAAACGGTTCGTACAAATAAGTCAAAAAATGTAAAAATACTAAACTGTCTTAAAAATCTTAATCTTAAGAATCTAAATGACACGGAACTTGTGACCAGACCACTCTTCTGCATATTACTTCATTACAACAACAGAAATGTTAAGTTATCTTTCGTGGCCAATACTGCATATTCAATCACACATATGCTAGTGGGTCGCTCGAGATTTACTTATATTCTGTATAAAATAAAGGTAGTCATTGGCACGAAGGTGAACATAAAAACTGCTATGGTATAAACATTAGGGAAAAAGATAAAATCCACAAAAAGTGAGGGAGAATGGTTTAAGACTAGAAAAAGGTATCGATCATGCAAATTTATTCATGAATCGGCGAAGAAAAGAGAAGAAGAATAAAAACAAGGGAAGTTCAAAAGGATATCAATAACTCAGCTGAGTTTGGCAGTTCATTTAGGCCGTACACGATATTCAAGTTTTACGGCTGTGTCGAATACTAGAGAGAAATGGAAATATCTGACAGCTGACGGGAGCAACGCGTTGTCTCCATTAAACTCACTGCAGTAGCTGGGAGTGAATATGGAAGAAAAACGTCGTGGCCTAATTTAAGGTACTATTCTAGAATTTGCCCGAAAAATTACAAAAATGACGGAATATCCTGTCTCGGGGCTCAATCACAGATCTCCCAAATACGAAGAAGTGCGAACCACTCGACTGTGACTGTGAACGTTTTCCGAAAACTCAAAACGTATTTTCGACACATTCTTTCTTTTGAGAGTATTAAATCAGAAGCTAATGACACGACAACAGGTAACATGACTGTAGGATTCAAGGGTTAAAGAAACGTGACTCAAACATAAAATTCGTTTATTCTACGCACACGTGTTCCAAATCGACAGCGCTTTCGACCATTACATTATTTCCTTCTTAGCGAAAATAATAATTTCATCCGTAGCTGAAAAGCATCTAATCACAGAGGCGATTGTCTTCAAAAGAACGTGTTTGATTACATAGAGCAAATAATGACTAGTACATGTTGGCAGACAGAACATGTAATATGGGGCAAGTGATTGATACGCACTAACCACAGCTCAGGTTTAGTAGAGGCGATGTCGCCAGCCGCAAGGATTCTGCTCGTACAGTCCATTAAGGTATTAACGATCTCATAAGCTCAAGCTCCCATACATGGACTTAATAGCGAAATATAAAAAAGAAAACAGAGCTGCAAGTGACCGGCAGTGCCTCGTTAATGGGGGATGTAGCCTAACCGATGTGTACACGCCACGTCCGAACAAAAACGGACATTACTCAAGCCTGAATAGCGGATTTGGTGCTGGAATATTATAGAAGACACAAATGGAAAGTTCTTATCCACATTTCTGATACATATGTGGCCGAATATATGATTGGCAGTGTAGGAGGAGATAATGGAAGAAATTTGTTTCGAACCTTTTGCTCGTAATGAAATATTCTGACTGTAACTTTAGATTTCATAATCACTTTCCTAAATTAGAAGGTATGGTAACCTATAATGTACTTATATACCGACATCAAACACGAACTTCTGTATTTTCAGTAGCGAATTTTGAGACTTTTATACAAAAACAGTACTTCACTAATACGTAGTACATGAACGCTGATGTTTGTGAAAAAAACTAAAATCTTTAAGAAACTCTATACAACACGATACCATATTTTAATAACCCCTATCAAGACAGACACTAACATGGCGGTCATACGAATTCTTTGGCAGATCCAATCTACTAGCAGTATTCGAGATATGTTTATCAGTTTTCCAAAAAGAGTTAAGCTGTCTTATTCTAGTCCCATCCGGCCAATATACTAAGTTCAATTCAAAGACAAATGTAAGTAAAAACTATTTCTTCTTAAATGAACTAACTCAAATCAGACGTGCAACCAGGCCTAACCGTAAATGACCCGGTTGTGATAGAAGTAATCTGCACTTTCAATGTCAAATGAGGTATACGACAGAAGACTGGAGCATAAATAATTCATTGGAACACGGTCCTTGAGAAGCTTATAGTACCTTCAGCTAGTCAAGTACAGGTTCATTACCGTATCCAGCCCACACACTCAAATAGTATTTCATACATACAAAAGCACGGAAGACAAAAGACTATAACACAAATTAATATAATGTGTTATACCTTCTGGGTCAGTACACGGTGTTTTTCATTCTTATTTCTGTGTCTTCTCTAACACTTAATTATATGCCATGGGCTAGTGTAAGATGCAGCAATTTAAACGTCACTGGGACAAGCCTACAGCATCCTATTTGTTCCACAGAGTTCAATGTACTTAGTTTCATCAGCTTTAAACCAAGTCGTTCCCACTCGACAATCTTTCGTCACGGTTTGCATTATTTTTATTAAAAGTAGCAGTCGACACCTCCCTATTATTTCCCGTCTTATTTGTTCCCCCTGTCATGCATCCCTCCAAGCTAAAATTACTCTTTACCTGGTGTTCGTGGAACGATAAACTTGTCCATTTCGAAACATTACACGCCTTTTGCTAGGCAGAATGCTTCTTTCCCTTTGGACTTACATTTGACTGTGAGAGGTTGACATTTGTCTCCAATTTGTCTCGCAGTATGTGGTGTGAGCGCATGGGGTTGCATCGAGTCAGTATTAAGGGGTTAAAATGAGGCTTACACTGTTACACAAACAGACACGTCTCTTCGGCTGATATAGTCATTGAATATGTTATCAAGTTACCTTAATTCAAACTGCTGAATCCATTGTTAAATGGCAGTAACTTCTTTTCACAGAAAGTAGTCAATTTTACTCCGCTGGTCTTTTCATTATTTCCAAGACCCTTTCAGTGTATTTGACTCGCTATAAATACGTGTTGCGATATCTTTATTGATCTAGATGTAATATAGCGGTAAATCGATTTCTCGTGTAGTCATCTCTCGCATATAACAAAGTCGATTTAATTTATTACGAAACTAAGTTTACTGTATATTTCACGAAAGAATTAAAGAGTGTTCCGTTCAAAACGCAGATCAACCTACAACAGTTTTGGTAAGCTTTGGTGACATCAACCCAACAACAACAAAAAGTTCTTTTTACTTTTTATCTGTTACGAAGAATTTGCAGAACGGATTTACAGAAGAAGCTGAAAAAGTTCATCTCTTCGAAGGCAAGCATCTACCTTTTTTTAGTGTGTTTCGTATGTCTTCGCGAATGT